TACATGAATATAATAATAAATATCTTGTTATGATATGTGAAAGTGCATTTATCTCTTTTATAAATGTTTATATCAGATTGCCAAAAGGTGTTATAATCATTCTTGTTTAGACCACATTTTTATTAATGGTGATGACAATGTCACAAGTAAAATTAATGCTGGTGTAATACTCACTGATATAACAGATCACTGTACGGTTTGTGTTTCGATTCCAAGTAATGAAAATGTTGTTAATAATCGAAAAATGTTGAATAAAATTGATTATAAATCAATTACGTCAATATTAGCCAATGTAAATTGGACCGAAGTATATGATGCCTAAATTATGTCAATCACTGTTATAATGTTTTTGATCAAATAGGTAATTAATAATACATTTGATAAATCTAATACTCGTAAAATCTTGAGAACATACGTTTAAAAGAATGGATGGCTAATGGATTATTAACCTCAGCCCGTCGCAAACAATTTCTTTCAATGAAATGCAAAAAACATCCAAATAATTTAATGTTAGCTTTACATTATAAAAAATACAAGAATAATCTCACAAAAACTGTAAGGTTAGCTAAAAATTATTTTTATGAACAAAAATTTAAAAATGCAAATTCTAATCCAAAATCAATATGGTATCTAATAAAGGAAGTTACAGGTTCTAAATTGAGGTTTAAAGATAACATTGACAAACTAAAAAATAATGAGCATGAAGTAAATGTGAAAAATGATCCAATGACTGCATTTAATATGTTTAATAATTTTTTTATAAATATCGTTCACAGTAATATAAATAATCAATCAATTCAGAGAATAGTCATGTTTCTAATAACGTTTCTTTTAATGATGTGTTTCAAAAAAAAATCGAGTCGTCGGACATACTAGGTATTATTAATAGCTTTAAAGACGATACAGCAAGTGGTTTAGATAAAGTGTCCGTAAAAATGTTAAAATGTATTAGTAAATTGGTAGTGGATCCTATTGTTTATATATATAACTTAAGTATTGAATAAAGTATTTTTCCTGATACCTTAAAAGTAGCTGACCTTTGTTTAAAAGTGGTGATAAATCGATTATGAGCAACTATAGGCCAATATTCATGTTGACCAATTTTTCTAAGATGTTTGAAAAAATTATCAAATCCAGACTGATTGAGTTCTTAAAAAAAATAACTTATAATCAAAAAAACAATATGGCTTTAGACCGGAGTTAAGTACTGAGAATGCTCTTTATAAAGTCACTCAATTTCTATACAGTAATCTAGATAATAGCAATAAATGATTAGTAATATTTTGAGACATAACCAAGGCTTTTGATACAGTGAATCATAAAATCTTATTAAACATACTACCTAGATTTGGAATTAATAATTCAAGCCTAAACTGATTTAAAAGCTATTTGTATAATAGAAAACAGTCAGTTAAAATTAATGTAGTAAATGGTAGCATATATGGAATTAAAAACGGTGTATCTCAAGGTAGTGTTCTTGGACCCATTCTATTTCTTATATATACTATCGAAATTTGTAATATTAATTATGATGGGTCGATAGTTACTTATGCTGATGACACTTGTATTCTATTCTCACACAAATCATGAGATGGGGTATATGAGGAAGCTTACAAAGGTTTCAATCAGATAATAAACATTTTAAGCAGACCAACGGGCAACGACCAACTATTAACTAATAACTATTAGTTCTACATAATAAGGTACTTTTCAGTGGCACAACTAGGTGGGGGGTTTGGGGGTTGTGACCCCCCCCCCGAAATTTTTCTGAGGTTTCTACAAATTTTACGTAGGAAAAAAAGTTATTTATTTTAATTACGCGAAACGGCAGATTGTCGATTGATATGAATATTATTCGTATGACGGTTGTAGATATAATATTATATCTACAACATAGAGTAATAATTATTCTATAATCTACAACTACCGTGATTTATATTAAAATTGATAAAAAAGATAACATGACAATATGGAACGTCTCACTGCCTGAATCTCGCAATATCATACAGCTGTAATGTAGTAGATATTAGGAATTCTATGGGGATAATGCAATCAGTTTGTAAATTTTTTGGATATCCTAAAAGGCAAAATATTTTACAAGAATCTATTAAAAACATAGTACCAGAATCCAAATCATCAAAACTAAAGCAATTTTGTGCTACAAGATGGATAGAACGTCATGATGCAGTATTGATATTCCATAAGATTTAACCTGCCGTTATTAATGCTCTAGATGAGATATATAAATGGAGAGATATAGATTCATCTACAACAGCAAACCAGTTAAATACCTCAATACATCAATTTAAGTTTAAGAGAGAGAGCTATTAGGGAGAATATTATTCCACACAATATTGTTGACCAGGAAGCGCATTTGTAAGTCTTTTAACAAATTAATCATTTGACCTTATAACATGATTGTATATGAATGTATTAAGTACAAATAAATAATTATATAGATTCCCTGAAGCAGCGATGTATATAGGTCGTCCAGCTGCTCTTAGGGCTATTGCAGGAGCTAGGCATCGGAACGATCCTCCTGTTCCAGATTCTTTAGCAGACTGGATAAATATTTTGAATTCTAATGAATGGAGCCCAAGATTGTGATATGTTAATGGGTCAATGACTCCTTTCTACCAAGGCCCCTTGGAGTTATTGAGGGATGATGGAAGTACACGCTTTGTAGGACTCGTGTTTACCAACAATACTTTCATGCAAGAATTGAATGCACACCTCGAAAGAGTACGAACAATGTGTATGGACGGAACTTTTCAAATAAGACTACGGCAACCAGCTGATATAGAACAGTTGTTTACAGTACAAATTATTTTTAATAATGTGGTTAGTTTAAAATAAAGACATACATAGTACACATGTAAATATTATACATACATTTAAAATATGATTTATCTCTTTTCAAGCAATCCCAATTATACATGCCCTACTAGTTGATCGCCAAACCGAGTCCTACATCCGGGTACTCCAATTTCTAAGGTATGATTTGCAGTTGAACATAAATTATGAAAACCTGCAGGTCATGACTGATTTTGAACAGTGCCTAAGAAATGCCATAAGTAGAGTACTCCCAGAAGCCAACAATTCTGGCTGTTGGTTTCACTATATTCAGGTAGGTACTTTAAAAATAAAGAGAAATCAAATTAACTCTTACTATACATAAATAAATTATTTAATGACATGTAAAGGTAATTGATAGTTTTTTAATAAATGTTGTCTTTTTCAGAGTATTATACGTTATGTTTGAAGTCATCATCTAATGCGGTTATGCAGAGAAAATGGAAATGCAAGGCGAATTCTGCGAATGGTAATATTTTTTTTACAATGAATAAGAGAGTAAATGAGAATTTTATTATAAAATTAAAAACTTTTACAGCATAACCACTAAACAAAGGAAAATATATTGAGTAAGAATGTACTATGTACCAGAATTCGTTTTAATTTAATAAAAAAAACAAAATAGCATATGTGCTAAATAATTGCATCTGTAGTAGAATAAAGTGTTGTACTTGCATGTAAATATTAAAAAAAATTTTCTTTGGTTAGAAATTTCTCTTTCCCTTTTAATAAATTAATTTTAGTTAGGTATGCAAGTAAAAATTTACTAATTAAACTAATATATCAATAGTTTTGTACAGTTGTAATATTTGATTGATTTTTCTTAACATTAATTTGTGTTAACATTTTTTATATTAGTTAATGGCTTTAGTTCATCTGCCAGCAGTTGTCATACAACATCATGGTAATTCTTTCTCTATCCACTTAGGCTTTAGACTAATTCAAGATCTAGGTGAGTTAATAATCATTAATTAAATAATGTTAAGTCATTTGTTTAGGTGTTAGTTTTATGAATATGATTTTAATATTTTTAACTACAGTTACCAGCTATAATTTAGTGATAGAACTGGAACCTCTAATACGATATTATGAGCGATTCTGGATGGATACAGTGACTCCGCAGAGGTTTACAGTATTTGGACTCGCACACAGAACCAATAATTTTAAAAAGTCATATCATGCGTCACTCCTCCGATTAATGGGTCAACACCCAAACCTTTATCGGTTCTATGGTAATTATTTAAAAAAAAATAAAACTGTAAGGAACTGTAGTAATTGTAAAGAAAAAGTCTGTATTTGTACAAATTTTTAGATCACTTAAGAACAGTCGAGGAAAGGGCTCAAAATGATTTTAGTAGAGCAGTCAATGGACAGAGGGTATGGGCAATAATAGTTTTTAAATAATTTGTGAACTGTTATAATATAATTGTTGTTTATTAAATGTTTAGATTTGTAATCTCTGTATATGTGTAATTTATAATTGTTATAATTTAATAGGTAAGACAAACAAATTATAGATTAAATCTAAGCAATAGTACAACTATCAGAAATGCTTGGGTGAATGTGGAAAATGGTTACTACAATTTGGAAGATTTCATAAGAAATGTTTCATACACCCCGGAACAAATATTCAGGAACGAAATTGGGGAGCCAAATTTTCCACATCGTAATACATCTTGCATGTTATTTAAAGTGATCAATAGTTTTAGTTTAACTTTATATTTTAATTTTTATATTTAGAAGCTATAGTTCCAGCTATAAATATGCAGCTACTAGTACCATCAGCACCATTACAACCACAGCCAATTTTGCCCCCCTTCATATTGGGTCCAATCCGTCAACCACCTATTCTTCAGAATCAGTTCCCGATTCGACCATTGTCACCACCACATCAGATTCAAATTCGTCCTCCATCTCCAGTGTTACATATGGGAGAGTTAATAGTCGATGTTCCTCTCAGGAGACGCGGTCGAGGTAGATGAAGGCATTTCCAAATTGGTCGACCTTATCATATAGGTAAAAAAAAAAAATGTTTTAAAGCACTAGTTAATTTAATATATAGTGAATCCAATAAAATATAATATAGAAAATCATAGTCGCAGAGCAAAAGGACCATGGTGGCAAACAATTGCTGGCAATGGTAGAGGTGATGAACAGCCACTACCATATCATGAAATAGCACTATTGAATAGAGAGATTGATAATGATTTTGGTAAAGCTTATTTGAATTTAAATATAAATCACAACAAGAATTGATTTTAAGTTTAAATATAAAATTTTTTATTGTTTACAGAACCAATTATTCCTTTACCGGCCAATGACCACCCACTTATTTTGGAGAATATGGGTAGATAAATATAAAATTATTTTTACAATTATTATACTATACGCATAAAACATTAAATGTAAATGATATACCTAATTTGTATTTTTTTCGTTTTTTTGTAGATGTCTTGGAACTGTGTACAATATGTTTTGAAGAAGTAGTGGTTGTAAGGTTGAATCCCTGTGACCATCAATATTGTATTCAGTGTGTCACTAGAATGATGGAAGAAAATTATAATATATGTTATCTTTGTAGAAATTCAATATCTAGATATGAAGGGTATAATATTTAAAAAAAATTAATTTTTTGTAATTTTCAATTGTATTTTTTTTATATATGTATCTTAAAGGCCGAAACTAAAGAAAAAAAATAAAGATATTTTTAGTGTGTTTTGAATTTTGAATTTAACATATTAGTTATTTTTATCTTGTACATATTATATATACCTATATCTATTTAAATAAAATTCTTTAAAACAAAATTTGTTACCATATATTTTTAATTGACTGAATAAGTACCGACGTTTTGGATCATAAATGATTTATTTGAGTAAAAAAAAAAATTTCTCTTACACAAAAAAATCAAAGAAATATCATAATTAAAAAAACATCCGAATTGTATACAAATTCATCCAAGTTGACTTGTTTTGCATATTTCTTAGATAGAATAATTATATTATTGTATTTATGATGGATACATAAAATATTATTAACATTGCTACATTATTAAGTAAGTTTAGCATGAAGTTAATAAATAGGGAATCTATTCAAAACAATAATATGGAATGCTTGATTAAATAGGAAGTCAGCAGTGGTTAATAGTTCAAAAGTATGCTGCTAAGAACTATTCATATTTTACTATATAAATATTTATATAATTTAAATAACTTATAGGTATTGTAGTGCATTGTAAGAAAAATGAGTTTAGACTTTAGATTAAGTTAATGTGTAGAAAATACATAGATATTATTGAAATTAGAAATTCTTTGTCTCATACGTGATTGAACGAATGAACTTCGATGAGTGGTCAAGCACTGCAACTGAACAGAAGTGAATTTTTTTTCCGGAAAAAAGATATTATTAACGATTCTAAGAACTTGGTGAAAGATTGAATACTCATTATGTAATCCAAATTATTCACAGAATGTTCGTGTAAGTGCATATTATGTGGATATGATAACATTTTCTTAATCATTTGTTCCGATGAAATAGAAAAATGTTGTTCCAAAACACTGTAGTTCCACAAAATATTTTTTCCAGTGGTCTTTTGTTCCACATTTGGAAGAAGTATAGTGTGGAACAAAAGTGAATCGGAACAAATATTTTGTGGAACAATACTGTATAGCCCAAGTTTAACATACTTTTTCTCAAATAGTATATTGTACAGTCTCGATGTCTCCGTGGGTACGTTCGAAGGAGAGTTATTAGAACGTGGATATAAAATGAGGAAATGAAAATGATAACGAAAATTAATTTTGGGCCAGGCTTGTTGGAATTTTTTAAAAATAGGAACATCAGGACCAATAGTATTTATTTTTAATTTAACTTCAAAAACACTTCTTAGCACTAATTCGAATATATGTCGCCTACAAGGTATATATAAAAGATTTCGTCCTATCAGTTGTTCCAATATAATACAGGCACCATTCAAGCGATCTGTGTTTGATGCCGTCGTGTCACAACATAAAGCTTGTACTTTATTTGTTACACCTCAATCATTTATAATATCAAATATTGCATTTGCTTGTTGTTCTCCAGTACCACTTTTGAGCTTTGGCACACCAAGTAATTGAGTTATTCCCTCAAACGAAACAAATAGATTTACGAAAAATTTTGTCTGAACATTTTTTATAGAGAATATCTGAATCTACAATTTAGGTCCTATATAATTTAATCATATTGTTTTTTTTAATAATATTTTTAAATTTTATATATTTTAGAGACCAGATATCAAAATTATACTAATGAGTGCAACATTAAATGCAGCAACTTTTTCTAAATATTACAATGACTGCCCATCTTTGAACATACCAGGATTTACATATCCAGTTGAAGAAGTCTATCTTGAAGATATTTATTCATTAAATAGGTTTGCGCATTGTATTTCTTATAATTTCTTACATCGAGTTTTTCAAATATTATTTATTGAAAATAGATTCAGGTATTTTCCTAAAAAAATTTTGAGACAATGCAAATTAAAACCTGGCGATCCATTTCTAGACTTTGTAGTTCCCTATGTTAAGTGAGTATATTATTGAAAATATTTTTGAATGTTCATATAACAACATTTCAAATAATAATAACTAAACTTTTTGTAGTGAAATGAGAAGATCTAAAAGATATAATTCTGCAATATTGAATTTGTTGGAAAATCCAACATCTGAAGATACGGATTATGAGTTGATATTAGAACTTATAAATTACATTTGTAATAATAAAGATGATGGAGCAATACTTGTGTTTCTTTCTGGATGGGATCAAATATCTAAAATGACTAAAATTCTTAAAGATAAAGGCTTTGGAAATACATGTAATGTATAATTTGTGATTTTAAAAAAAAAATTAACTATGTTAAATAAGTAGGGTTAAACATTTAATGAGTAGTTCTTGATACTCAAATATTTCTTCAGATTTTTTAGCAATTTTGATTGCCAGTTTTTAAATATTTTGATATTTTAAATAATTATTTTTCCATGTAGATTTAATGAATGAATATTGGTAAAAGTTTTTAGTTGAAATATTGATAATTATTAGTTTAAAAATAACTTTTTAAACTTATTGTATTATTGTAAGTTTTAATAAATTTGAAATCTTTATTGCTAATTTTTTACTGAACCTGAGTACATTAAACTTAACTATTTGTTAAATTTTGGTACTTTTTACAAGTATCTAACTAAATTTATATAATTTTCTCAAATTCAGTTTCAGATTTGAATTAGCTTTTTAAACTTTTTTCTGATTTCCGTTTTTATTTTAAGTGTATAATTTTGAAAAAAAAAATTCAAAGTATTCAAAATTAGTATTAATACTTAACACTTGTTTGAAGCTCTGATTTCAAAGAATTATTTAATTAACATGAAATGTTAAATTTATAGTTCATTAGTTTTATTTGTCATATGCTAAAAAAAGAAAAAATCAGTTTTGTAATTTATTGAATTACATTTTTTTTTTTCTTTGTAGCTCGTTACATACTTCTTCCTTTGCATTCCATGTTACCAACTGTATCTTAAGAATCTTTTTTGAATCATCACCACCAGGTAAGCTAAAATGGTTTTGTTAATTAAATACAAGTTAGTATAATATTAGTTTTAAAGGTGTTTGTAAGATTATTTTATCCACAAACATTGCAGAAACTTCAGTTACTATAGATGATTATATATAGATGAACTAGTTTATGTTATTAATAATGGTCGTATAAAATTAAAAGGATTTGATGCAGAAAATAATATTGGGACTCTAACAGAAAAATGGGTGAGTTTGGCCAATGCAAGACAACGTCGTGGTCGAGCAGGCCGTCTAAGGCCTGGTATTTGCTACCATTTGTATACAAAAGGACGTGAAAATTCATTTGATGATTATGTACTACCTGAGATGACGAGAACAAGTTTAGAAGAAGTAATACTTCAGGCTAAAATTTTACAAGTTGAAAAGGTAACTCCATTTTTAGAGAAAGTTACGAATCCACCTGAAACTAAAGCTCTTGAAGTGGCTTTAAAAGTATATTTTGATTTATTTTATAGAAATTATATTATTACTTTAATAATTTTGGTTATTTTCTAGTTATTAATTGACCTGAATGCTTTGGATGAAAAGGAAAATCTTACTCTATTAGGCTTTCATTTAGTAAAATTACCAATTGGTCCCAGAGGCTGATTTCCCATTAGGCATTGTAGACAGCTGCCTAGGGTGGCAAAATTTGGGGGGCGGCAAATTTTGTAGCGTTTTATTAAAAAACATCAAACGATCAAACATATAGTGATATTCAGTATACCAATCTATTTTGGTTCATTATAATTTATAGTCATTACCTATAAATATTATAGTAAACAATTATATAGAAAACAGTTTTTGATAATACTATATATTTTATTTTATTTTGTAGGTTTTTATTCAAATTCAGTGAACAACCATTGACATTTTTTTCAAAGTAGGCTAAATAACTTCAGGCGAAAAAATAGTCTAAAAATGAAAATGGATGTCCACTACTATTGTCTATATATTAAATATTTAGAGTAGGTATTTTGGAGGGGTATTATAACTTTTTCACCTATTATAGGAGCGGCAAATTTTTGGTGCCTATAGCCGTAAAAAAGATAAATCCGCCTCTGATTAGTCTTCTTGCAGGCAAAATGATTATTCTAGGTACAATGTTTAGCTGCTTAAGTCCAATAATGACCATTGCTGCCAGTTTAAATTTCATAGATCCATTTGTTATGCCGGTGAGTAAATAGATTTTATTATTTATTTTTACTTTAATACTTAAAATCTTGAATTTTACAGACAAATGATAAATACCAATGTCATGATGTAAAAAATAAATGGATGAAGGTCACCTAAGTTATCATCTCATGGTCACTAGAGCAATAAGTAAATTTTTACAAGCAAAACAAGAAAACAGGGCTTGGGAATTTTGCAGAGAAAATTGTTTGATGTACAATACTATGAATATGTAACATGATTTAAAGTCTCGATATGACAAGTATTTATGTGATCTAAGATTTATAAAAAATTCCAATTATTCAGATCCTGAGTATAACCAGAATTCAAATAATGTTAAACTGTTGAAGTGTGTTTTAGTTGCTGGTTTATGTCCCAATATTGCTGTTTGCAAGTAAGCAATATTTTATATTTAAATTAATCATATAAATTAATTCTTTTATAATTTTTTAAGTTCCGAAGTTATAGCAAACGGTCGAAAGTTATCAAAATTTGTGACTGCTGAAGATGGAAAAGTTGAAATTCATCCAAAATCTGTGAACTCTATTGATAATTACTACATTAGTCCTTTATTGTTATACCACACTAAACTAAAGACTACTTAAATATATTTACACGACACCACTATGGTTTACCCATTTCCAGTAGTATTTTTTGCCAAAAGCTTCAAAGTAACTGGTGAAAAAGCTGATCATATTTCATTTAGTCTTAATTCACAAGTAAATTTCACATGTTCAGCTAGAACAGCAAATCTTATTAAGGTGATTATAATTATTATTATATTTTATACATATAAAAATATTTAAACACTTGGTTATAAAAATTGGTTATAAATAGTAATAAATTTGGATCATAATTTGCTTGAATAAAATTTTAAGTTCTTTTAAATATCTTGATATTCATGAATATTGTT